GTTTTTTTTTTTTTTTTTTTTTTTTTTTTTTTGGTACCAGGGATAGAACTCAGGACCTTATGCAAGGCAGGTGGCTGTACCACTGAGCTAAACCCTCAGCCCTGGGCTTTTACTTTGGATCCTCCTGCCTCAGCCTCCCAGAGCGCTGGGATTACATGCTTCACCAGATTCCTACACTGAAAGCCTGGGCCCCCAGAGCTTTAAGAAAGGAATGGAGTTCAATTTCAATCTCATCCTGGAGCGTGACGTGGGTGGCTTTCAGTTTTCCTCTGAAAAGTTAAATTTGAGATGGATATGGTGGTGTACATGTAATCCCTGCTACTTGGGAAGCCAGGGCAGGATAGAAAATTAGAGCTCAACCTGGGCATCTTAGTGAGACTGTCTCAAAATAAAATGTTTAAAGAGCTGGGGATTTAGCTCAGAGGTAAGAATACCAATCTGGTGTTCAAGAGGCCCTGAGTTCAATCCCTAGAACAGGACAGAAAAGAAAAAGGAAAAGTTAGGAGTTGCGTCTAGAGCTTAGTTGTAGAACACTTGCCTACCACAGACAGTACCCTGGACTTGATCCCCAGCACAGCCAACAATGGCAAAAGGTTAATTTTGTTTAAGAAGCCAATAGTAGTATAGTTTTTATACAGTAAGTAAATGGGAAGTTATTTGGAATTACTGGGAGAAATTATTTGTAAGATTTTTAGCTTTTACAGAAAGGTCCCCTAAAATTATTTATTGGAGGTGGGTGCTGGGCACTGAAACACACATGCCAATCACACACTATATCGCAGAGCTGCCCCCCCAAACTCCGTGAAAATCAATTTTCTAAAACATTGATGTTGATACAGTAAATAAATAGTTCAAATAATTGTAACAATAATACACAAGGTCCTGGGTTCAACCCTAACACCAAATAAAAACAAAATTGTTAAACTGATTTTTAAATGGGGGGATCACCATGTCTTAAAAAGAAAAAAACTTGAAAGAAAATGGGAAGGATTATTGTCAGCTTGGCCCACAAAGACCGCCCCCCCCTTTCTTTGGCCATTTTCTCCTCTAACTGGGCCAGAACCAGGTCTTAGTGCCTTCTATGGGATCTTTTTCCCCCCTGGGTCCCAGGGATCAAACTCAGGACCTTGTGTTTGCAAGGCAAGTGTGATGCCACTGAACTAAATCCCTGGCCCTCTATGGGATCTTAAATTTGAGAGAAAGAAGCACAGTGTAGTAGCACCTATGCCTACAGTCCCAGCACTCTGGGAGGCTGAGACAGGAGGATCACAAATTCAAGTCCTGCCTGGGAAATTTAGCAACTTACTGAGACCTCATCTCAAAATAAAAAATTTTTTAAAGGTTTAGAGATATATCTCAGTGTAAAAGCTCTGGGTCCAATCCTCAATAATGCAAATGAAAAAAGAGAAACTATAGTGCCACCTATCTTATAAATCAAGGATCTGTGTGTGTATGTATATATATATATATATATATTTTTTTTTTTTTTTACATTGTTAGGGATTGAACCCAGGGTCTTGCACATTATTTTCTAATTCTGTTACACATATTTGTATTATTTGTTTATTTATTTATTTTTGGGGGGTGTACCAGGGATTGAACCTAGGTCCTTGTGCTTGTGAGGCAGGCAGTGGAACCACTGAGCTAAATCCCTGGCCCTAGTATTTGTTTATTGTATCAATACCATAATATCTTTGTTATGGTAACTTTAAAATGTCTTTTTTTTTTTTTTTTTTTTTTGGTACTGAGGATTGAACTTGGAACCTTGCTCTTCCGAGGCAGGTGGCAGAACCACTGAGCTAAATCCCTGACCCCTTAAAATAAGTCTTGATATCTGATAGAGTGAGTGTTCCTGCCATGTTCTTCTTTAAGAGTATAATAAACCACTCTGGAGTTGGGCGTGGTGGTGCACACCTGTAATTCCAGCACTCAGGAGGCTGAGGCAGATGGATTGCCTCAGTTCGAGGCCACTACACAGTGAGTTAAAGGCCATCCTGAATTACAGAGCCAGACCCTGTCTCAATAAACAAACAAACAAACAAAACAAAAGAGGGACCTGAAGCCAGTCTATACTCTAAAACCATCTGAGCTCAGAATGAAGATAGACAAGTTAAGATGGGTCCTGGGGTTTTCTGATAGAAGAAAAAAACAAGCTGAAAGAACAGCCCAGAAAGATGAAGATGCCATAAAGCACAATGGGTAAGTCATCTGAAGCAATGGGGCAGAAAGTGAAAAAAAGCAGCAAGTGAGTAAACGACTTGGGTAAAAGGACCCCAAGGGGTGATAATAAAAAAGTTAAAATGAAAAATCTTGAGTAGTCACCCGTTCCTAAACAGGAAAACCGGGTCGCGCAGGCCCGCTGGGTAATATACCCATCCCAGCCCGCTGAAGAAGAGACAGCAGCCCGGGTAGGGCCAACAATCGCCAACTGCCTCCACCAAGTTAGGTTTCCAGGGTTGCCAAGACACGAGAGGAACAGAAGATGGGGTAGTGGAAGGGCCTGGGCAGGACTGAGTGGTCTGTGCGGTCCTGGGCCAGTCCCCCTATCCTTATTGCTCAGTAACAGAAACGCCGCCCTCCCAGGTCGTAGGTCCCAGGGCATAGAACAGTGCAAGGAGCTCCCTATCCGGCCGGGCCCTTAGGCCCAAAACCTGGAAGCCCCCTCTCCCTCCAAGTACCGCAACGGGGGATCAGAGAGGGCAGCCCCTCACCCAAAGTCACACAGGAATCGAGACGTCCCCCAGGGGGAGTACTCCCACCCCGGGTCCTCTCCCCACCAAGGCCTCCCCTTGGGGAGGAGCCGGCCCGAG